TTACCTACAATGGAAGACTGGAGATTGAAAGTTTCGTACCTTGCTGAGATGGCAAAGATTTCGGCTTATTTGAAGAATTACTCAAATGAACAATTTTTATTAATATGGAGAAGATGGATTGTTTATATTCAAAAGAAGCATAGAGTGGTGGAATATAATTTAGGTTTTTAGAAAAAAATTTCTTTTTTTTTTATATATTTTACCTACTCATGTAGAATAATATACCTTGTGGAGTTAGAGATATTAATACTTGTTTACTTATATCTGAATATTATCCTGGGATTAGGTTTGGGAAGTCCGGGGGGGTGGGGGTTTTTTTAATAGCATTGTGTAGTATCTGTGAAAAAAAATTTTTTTTTATGATGAAAAATAATAAAATTTTATATTGAAAAAAAAAAAAGAGAGAACCTGAGTAAATAACACAACCAGGCTTGTTTCTTGTTTAATTTATTGATTTATTACATAAACAAAGTAATCTAGCATGCACTGTTCCAGTGTGAAAAAGTAATCATCCTCTTAGATTCAGTAACACCTTTGACTGGAACATCTTTAGGTGCTATGACTGTGTTCGGTAATTGGTGATTAATGTCTCACATCACCTTTTCAGGTTCTTTCTACCAGAATGAACTGCTTCAAATTATTAACATTTAACAGTATTCAAGCATGATTTGCTTACTCTGGTCCTGCCACAATATTTCTGTAGGGTTTAGTGTTTAAAACACTGAATTGTGGGGGGGGGGGAGGTGTTTCAAATTCATACTTGCTTGTTTGAGATTGTTGCTTTGCTACATAAAATACATCTGTTTCTGCTTATGAACAGATAGTTGAAGTTGCCGGGACCTTGGGCAAGTGACTACATCATATTGGAATTCAATATAATGCAAACACAAGCAATAGAATATAATCCAACCAGTGTCTTAGACTGTAAAAGAACCGATATTAACAAACTCAGAGAGAGCCTAAGAATAATTGCATGGATAAAAATCTTAAAGGAAAAAGCAACTCAAGAAGCATGGAAAACATTGAAAAATATGATCATAAAAGCCCAGTCCAACATAATACCACTGAAAAAGAAAAACAAGAAATCCAAAACCAATCTGGTTATACAAAGATCTCTCTGATGAACTGAAAGACAAAAAGGATAAGTACAAAAAAAAAGGAAAGAGGGACACATATCTAAGGCAAAATATCAGCAGAATCTGCAAATATGAAGGCAGAAAAGCAAAGGCTGAGAATGAACAAAGACTTGCACCATAAATTAACAAGAAAAAAGTCAAGGAAACAATTGGTCCACTAAAGAGAAAAGATGGCAAGGAAGTAACAGACAGTAGAAAGCAGAGCTGCTTAATTCATTCTTTGCATCAGTCTTCAAGCAAAAAAAAACTACAGCCCAACCATAACTGTATTAAAAACATAACTGTAAAAGACAGACTAGAAATAAAAATTACAATAAAATAATGGTAAGAGAACGCCTGTCTGGTCTTGATGAATATAAATCATTGGGCCCTGATAGATTACATCCCAGAGTTCTGAAGGAACTGGCAGATATTATCTCAAAATAATTGTACCATATCTTTCAAAAATCCTGAAACACTGGGGAATTATCTGAGGATTGGAAAAGAGCTGATATGGTTCCCATCTTCAAAAAGGGGGGGGGGAACAGATCCAGGAAACTAGAGACCAATCAGTCTAACATCAATAATTGGGAAGACAGTGGAAAAGATAATCCAAAAAACAGATCTGCGAACATCTAGAAACAAATAAAGATATAACTAAAAGCCAGCATGGATTTGTTAAAATTAGATCATGCCAAACCAATCTTATTTCATTTTTTAACAAAGTAAGTAAATTAGTAGACCAGTGAAATGCTGTGGATATAATAAGACTTCAACAAGGCATTTGACAGAGTAGGCCACAACCTACTTCTTGGTAACCTAGAAAAATGTGGGATAGATAGCATCACCATCAAACGGATTTCTAACTGGCTGACAAACCGTACTCAACGAGTTGTCCTTAATGGTGCTACATCTACATGGAGGGAAATAAACAGTGGGGTACCACAAGGTTCTGTCTTAGGCTCAGTACTCTTCAATATATTCATAAATGACTTAGATGAGGGAATAGAAGGGGAACTCATCAAATTTGAAGATGACACTAAACTGGCAGGAATAGCTAACACCCCAGAAGACAAACTCAGAATCCAAAAATATCTTGACAGACTTGAACAATGGGCCCTATCCAACAATATAAAATTTAATGTGAAAAAAGCAAGTTTTACATGTAGGCAGGAAAAACCAAAGGTACAAGTACAAATTATGTGAAACCTGGCTCAGAAACGTAACTATGAGAAGGACCTTGGAGTCCTAGTGGAGGATCACTTAAACATGAGCTAGTATGTGCAGCAACAGCCAAAAAAGCTAATACAATCCTTGGTTATATAAACAGAAGCATAGAATCAAATCACATCTGGAATACTACATCCAATTTTGGTTACCACATTACAAAAAAGATGTTGAGACTTTGGAAAAAGTGCAAAGAAGAGCAACTAAGATGATTAAAATCCTGGAGACAAAAGAACAGTTGCAGGAATTGGGTATGGCCAGTCCAGAGAAAAGGACTAGGGGTGATATGATAGCAGTATTCCAGTATTTGAGAGGCTGTCATAAAGAAGAGATGGTCAACTTATTTTCCAAAGCTCCAGAAGGCAAGACAAAAACAATGGATGGAAAGTAATCAAGGAGAGAAGCAACTTGGAATTAAGGAGAAACTTCCTAATAGTGGGAACAATTAACCAGTGGAACAGCTTGCCTTCAGATGTTGTAGGTGCTTCATCACTGGAGGTTTTTAAGAAAAGACTGGACAACCACCCATCTGAAATGGTATAGGGTCTCCTGCTTTAGCATGGGTTTGGACTAGAAGACTTCCAAGGTCTCTTTCAGCTCTATTCTGATTGATTGATGGTGATCCCCAACCTTTCCAGCTGTGTGGACTGGTGGTAGTGGTGAAGGGTGGAGGAAGGGGATAGTTCCATGTAAGAGGCGGGTGAGTAGATGAACGTGCCAAGCTTCATTTTGCAGCTTGGTTACCCACAGGCCCTGGTCTGGGGTTGGGGATCCCTGATCTAATATACTCCTGCAGAATTTAGATAGAAAATATGCTTTTAATAAATTGGGTATCTTAATTAAGATTTAGTATTCTACCAAATGTTCTCCATTTCAAAACTATCTTCAGAAGTTTAGAAACCATTCTGTAGTCTTTTAGAGCAATAATAAATTGTATAATAATATAGGGAGTTATTTGTCTGCTATTTTGAGGAGCATATCATTCATAGTCTTTTAAACATTTAATTAAAATTAAAATTTTATTAAATAAATATGAAGCTCTGAATATATATTATGAACATTAAAAGCTCTTCAAATCACATTCAATTTTTCATCACATGGATTCTAAAACATGCTTTGTCCAAAAAATTGTTTTGTAGATTTCTGTAAAAACAGTTAGTGATGCCTATATCAACTTTATAATGAATCAGGGCAAGTACAAAGCACTAAATGAACAACATAATTATAAACTGTAGAAACTGTGAGTTCTAATATTGCCTTAGGCATAAAACAAGTTGGATGACCTTGGGCCAAGCATTCTCTCTCAACCCTAATAAGCAGGCAATGGTAAACAACTTCTTAAAACTTGACAAGAAAACTGCAGGGACTAGTCTGGGAAGTTGCCAGGAGTCAACACTGATTTAAAAGCTTCTACAAAGACCAATTTCCCCATATTGCAGTGCCTTCTCCAGAGCACAATTTAATGTTTTTCCTCTGCATACTGTACAATCAGACACATTTTGCAGAGATAATGCCTCTATGCTTCTGATGAAACTGAAACCTCAGAACATACCTTTCTGAAGATTTATGAGGAATTGCCTTCCAACTAATCCAATCCCTAATAATTAGATTGCCTGGGCACTGTCCAATGATATTTAGAAATTTTCCTTAAAAACGTATCCTGAAATCAATTAAGCAATTATTAAATACTAAGGCTATGTTTTGACCTGAAAACAAAAGTGGGCAACTTACCTAATTAATGATATTTTCTTGTATTCTCAGATAGCATTTGCTTTAACTTTTGTAATTTGGTCTTTGGCTATAATAAAATGTCAATCACTGTTACTTCTAGAAAGCAGTGATGATCCAATCAATAGCCTGTTTAATGAAGTAGTCACAAAACTATCCCTTCAATTAACTGTATTGAATGAGAGCCAGTTTGGTTTATTGATTAAGGCACCAAGCTAGAAACCAGGAGATTGTAATTTCTAGTCCTAACTTAGACATGAAAGCTGGCAATGTGAACTTTGGGCCAGTCATTCTCTTTCAGACCACGACATAAGGCTCAGGTAACAAGCCAGTCAGTCAATTTTTATTGTAACCAGTGGATCAACACTCAGCTGATCAGAAAAAAAGCAAACATTATATATTTGCTAGGAAAAATACTAGGAGGATTTTTTTAAAATGTATTGACAGAACAAGGAAGCTATTACTTTTTCACATTGCGATACTGTATTGTGGAAGGTTTCAGTTACAAATAAATAAAAAGAACCCCAAAGTTTAGTGTTGCTTTCTTAAAAAACCAGTAGGACCCACATGAAGCTATATTTTAAGTGGTAAAGAGATACAAAAATAGAGAAATCCCAAAAGGAACAAATACTTTTTCACAGAACTGTATTTCTACTACCTTTCACGTAGGTATCACAAAGATTATTAATACTATGTAAAATCATTTTAAAGAGCGTGCAACTTTTCTAATTAAAATGTGCAGAATGTAAGGCCCCCCAAAAACACAATGAAAAAATAAAAAAATAGATTTAATTGTTGGTAAATTATTTCAAACATCTGAATCCTAAAAAGGACACCTGCCTGCACAAACTGACAGTGCAAGGGCTGTTTCGTGGAATAGTTGGTGTCACGTACAATATGGTGCGCTGCTTGCTCCTGTTATCGTCTTACCACTATATGGTCCACTGGCACAGAATTTCTTCTGGACTAGCTTCAGCACTTTGTTATCTTCTTGCTGGAATAAAGAAAAAAAATAAAAATAGTAGTGACAGGCTTGAGAATATTTCCACTTATGATGGTATGTCCAGACAGCTTAATTTCTTGTCCTCATAGTCTATAATAAGTTTATCAAGGGGTTGGTGGTTTTTTGTTTTTTTTTGCCAAACCATATGTTTTTGCCCACTCTCCCTTTTTCCAACCGCCCTATACCCTTATCTGCTACTCTCAACAGATTGGCCACAGTCACAGATAATATTTTCTTATGATACAGTATTATATCACATTATTGTGATTGAAATATGATGGCTAGGACAGGGTTATCAGTGGCTACCATTGCATAGTCAAAGGAAGTCCTAATTTGCTGAAATTAAATATCCAATTAATTTGGTTTGGTCTATTTCAATAAACTGTGGTATCTGATAACAGGATCTCTGTCCCCTAATCTAGTTTAAGAATCTTTCCACAGATCGTGAATTTAAGATGGCATGTATGAAAAATATCTAAATTGTGATCTCCACTTAAAAAAATCGAATATCTTTTCAGACAATGTTTTTTTTATAAATACAGAAATAAATACATTAATGTAAGTGTTCCATAGGTTATTTCAGAGATGAATTCCAAAGCTTGGAAATAAGTTAAATGAAGATGAACTAGACTATTTATTATTAAAAGCTAAAGCTAGTTTTCATCTAGAATCACAAAATGGTATGTCTGCAGTATTATTAAGCAAAATGAGGTACTCTGTAATGTGTTATTTTTGATTAAGCAAATTTGATATAACAAAGCCAATTAAATTGTATATTTGTTTTAAAAGGTAAATAGTAAAAAAATGTACCAAAATTGTCTCTCTCTCTGTTTGTGTGTGTGTCCAATTCACAGCATAAAAACAAGATAACAAATATACAATCAAAAGTAGAAAAATAAAATAGTAAATAGGATGGGAAACTCAGCAACAATCAGTATCATATAACTAGCAAGGGGCTCTAACCACCCTAGCCCAAAATCTGCCAGACCAGCCAGGTCTTTTAAGACTTTCCCGAATGTTACCCAAACTTCAAGGGGAACCTCATCCCAGAAGGCAGAGGCCATGACAGAGAAGGCATTCTTCTAAGGTCCTGATAGATGGTACTCCTTAATTGGAGAATCATTCAACAACCAGGCCCTATTTGTCATAATGCTTAAGAACATGAACCATACCTAGAAAGCACCTAACATAAATCCAGTCAGGTATCAAATTTCTAGAAACATCATAAGAAATTCTTTTTTTATCTTCAGACATTGAGATTATATATTGCTTGACTTAACAAAATTAATGAAAAGTAAATGTGTAAGATTTAAATATACAAGAAGCAGCTGCAAGATTAATTAAGAATAGTCTTAGGGATTCTACAAAAATATTTATGCTCTAATTTTGTAGTAGATGGCATTAATTTCACTTTTACGTTTTGTCTTATTTTATCTTATTCCATTACTGTTTTCTGAGTCTAAGGACTTAAAGGCAAGAAAGAAATGTTTCTGTAATATTTACAATGAATATAGCACAGCATAGCATAGCATAGCATAAATGGCATGGCGTGGCGTATCATAACACAACATATACATATTTATATTTTTTTCTATATTAAAAATACTGGAAATTGTATTACAATATTTCAAGGTATATGCAACTTTCTAATTAATAAGGGATCCTAGTAGGGCCAAAACTTTTTGAGAGTCATGAATACATGTAAATAAGTGTAGCAGACTGTAGCACTGAAAGACACACTGATTTTTGAGTTTGCATTTTTAATATACCTAGACTTCAGGCTATGAAATTAACATTGGAACTATATGAGAGTAATGTTTCATTTAAAAAGGGAAACTGAATTTGGATTCCAGTGATCACTACATGGGAAGAGGGTAAACAGCTGAAAGATAACACACGGTCGCAGGAAGAGGGGGGGAAGTATGATGATATGGATACAAGCAAGGAAAGCAAGATATATATGTAGGTCTTTGGTTATTCGGTTTTCTCCCGCGTAAAATTGGAAGTGTCTTGGCGACGTTTCGACGAAGTCCCATTCGTCATCTTCAGGCTGGTGTTTTCAGCTTTGTGCTTCTAGGAGTACTGTGTGATCGCAGCTGTTTCTTCCTTTTAACTGCCAGTGGGGTTTGAACTGATTGGGTGGGAGCTTGGCTGTGTTCTGATTGGGTGGAGGTGTGTTCTGATTGGTTAGGGGCTTGGCTGTGCTCTGATTGGATGGTGGGGTTGGCTGTGCTCTGATTGGATGGGGGAGTGTTCTGTTTGGGTGGGGGCTTTGTTGTGCTCAGGTTAGTCTGAGTTGCAGGGGGATTTGAGATGGTGAGCTGCATTGCTGTTGTTTGGCTTCGCGTTCATGGTCGTGCCACATCTTTATGGTGGGTGTCAGTTTGCTTCATGTATGGATTGGAGGGGTTTAAAGTGGCTAATGATGCAGCTGTGGACTGGCTTCTAGTTTGAGGTCGTGCCTCATCATCTGTGTGGGTTTGGGTTTGCTTTTTGCGTGGATGTGTGGTGGTGACCTCCTGTGTGGTTTTCATGAGTGTGGGTCTGGTGTCATTCTTTGTGTTAGGGACTCGTTTGCCAATAAGGGCGGGTTTCCAAATGGCTGGTATGCGGGAGGTATCATCTCGTTTATTCATGCTGTGTGGCCGTTTTTCTATCTCGCTGGGTTCTCTGATTATTCTGTTGTTAAAAGTGTTCAGTTCTGGCGATAGTTCTGGTCTTTTTAAAGTCAACTTTATGTCCTGTGGCTTTAAGGTGTTGGACCAGGGAAGAAGTTGGTTCCTCTTTTCTGACTGAGTTCTTGTGTTCTTCAATGCGTGCATTTATTCTTCTGTTGGTTTGTCCGATGTATGTGGTGGGGCAGCCGGTGCATGGGATTTCATATACTCCTTGATTTTCTAACTCAATTTTGTCTTTGGGGTTTCTTAGGATGGTGGATATTTTTCGGTTTGTGTAGAATGCTGTCTTGATGTTGTGTTTGTGGAGGATCTTGCTGATTCTGTCTGTGGTGCCTTTTATGTAAGGGAGGAGGGCTTTGCCGTTTTCTTGTTCTCTGTCTTGGATTTTAGTGGGGGTTTCTTTTTGGATTAGGTTGGTAATCTTATTTCTTTGGAATCCGTTGGATGTTAGTACGTTAGTGAGAGTGTGTAGTACGGTTTTTAGGTGTTGTTCGTCAGCTAAGCGTTTTGTTCTGGAGGTGAGTGTCTTGGCTACGGAGTTGATCTGTGCTGGGTGGTGGTGTGAGAGTGCATGCAGATACCGGTTTGTGGGTGTTTTCTTCTGGTAGATGGTGTGTCCTAGGGAGCCATTGGATTTCTTGTAGACTAGGACATCAAGGAAGGGAAGTTGGTTATTAGCTTCTGTTTCCATGGTGAACTGTATTTTGGGGTGTAGGCTGTTGAGGTGTGTGAGGAAGTTGTCCAGTTTTTCTTTCCCATGTGGCCAGATTATGAAGGTGTCGTCTACGTACCTGAGCCAGAGTTTGGGTTTGTGATCAGATTTTTTAGAGCTTGGGTTTCAAAGTGTTCCATGTAGAGGTTTGCAATGACAGGTGAGGGGGTGATCCCATGGGTGCTCCTTCTATTTGTTTGTATTTTTGTCCATTATAGATGAAGTATGTGTTGGATAGGCAGTGGTTGGTCAGATCTAGGATGTGCTTGGGGGGGTTATATCAAAGAAGCCTTGACAGCTATCCAAAACAAATATAACCCCCCAAGCGCATCCTAGATCTGACCAACCATTGCCTAAAAACTAAACACCCCCCACCCCACCCCTGCTGCCAATCCTCAACAGAAATGCTCACAACAATGAAAACCTCGGACAGGAAAAAGAGTGCGGCCCGGCGGGCAGGCAAGTGTCTTGCTCGGCTGTGGCTTGGGGGGCACTTTTTTCAGTGTCATTGTAACTTCGAACAGTCACTAAGCAAACTGTTGTAAGTCGAGGACTACCTGTACATCACTTTTTTCCGTTGTTTTTTTTTTTGTCATCAAGTTTTTGACACCTTGGTAGGCAACTTTTAGGATATTGCCATATCCTAAAAGTGGTACAATGGGTGAAAAGGTTGAAAAGCCCTGCTATAGAACTCCTATCCTTACTTTCATTTTCTGTTTAATCAGTATTTCAATTTTCATAGAAAAAAAAGCCAAATTTATCTACAACTTCCCAGTCAGTCGTCAACAAACCGCATTTTGCAGCTACTTGAAACAGTAGTTTCTCACTGTATTTTTCTACTTATTGCAAAGCAGGGTCCATTTATACAGAAATAATAGTTAATGTTTTTTGTAATTATGACTGTGGAGGATTTTGTTTATGACTTACTCTCCTTAAAATAATATGTTTAGAATTTATATTTTTAACCTTTAATAAATGCATCAAATTTTCAGCAGATGTGTATTTTACACATAACTAGAGACATCAAGTTTGTAATAGTTTATATATGACAGAGAATATATATATATCTCTGAACCTATGTGTGTGTATGTATGTATGTATGTATGTATGTATGTATGTATGTATATATATATTAAGAATACTAGTGAAAATACGACTCTTAGGAATATCCATTTGTTAAAATAATGATCACCAAGAGAATACTTAAACAGAGTTTATCACAGGTGTTTGTATGTAGGTCTTTGGTCATTTGGGTTTTCTCCCGTGTAGAATTGGAAGTGTCCTGGCGACGTTTCGACGAAGTCACATTTGTCATCTTCAGGCTGGTGTCTTCAGCTTCATGCTTCTGGGAGTAGTACTCCCAGAAGCACGAAGCTGAAGACACCAGCCTGAAGATGACGAATGTGACTTCGTCGAAACGTCGCCAGGACACTTCCAATTCTACACGGGAGAAAACCCGAATGACCAAAGACTGTATGTATGTATGTATGTATGTATGTATGTATATGTATATGTATATGTATATGTATATGTATATATATGTTTTCTGAGGTTTTCACAGGTGTTTGTATGTAGGTCTTTGGTTATTCGGGTTTTCTCCCGCGTAAAATTGTTTTTATTCCCCCCATCTGCTAGGTGGTTGCAGCAGGTTTTGGTCACTTCACATGACCCTGGGACACTGTGACCGTCATAAATATGAATCAGTTGCCAAGCATCTGAATGTAAATCACAAGACCCTGGAGATGCTGCAACATTCCAGCTGATCGGCACTTCTTCTGGGCTCAGCTGGAGCCTGGTGTTGATCCTGGCGCTTCTGCTGAGCCCTGACAGCCCTGCAGCTCCAGCCATCTCTTGCTCAGGCTTGTGCGATGCTGCCACTGGTTCAGCTCATTCCCCTCCCCCGCTACCACTTTTCTAGGATAGTCGCGTACCACCTGCCAGATGCCAATGTACCATAGGTGGTACCCGTACCACTGGTTGAAAAGCCCTGCTCTATAGCACATTATACATGTAATTTTGGAATATTAAATCATTGGTTTGTATTCTACCTGAACTGAGTTCAATGTCAGAAATCATATACCTACCTGCTCCCCTTCTACGTATACCAGTGGAAAACCCATTTGCTTGGTCCATGTATTCATCACAGCAGCAATAGGTTTACCACTAGCGTCTTCTAGGCTTTCCCAAAGATCTTCTGCAAAAGAGAAAAATCCTCAATCTAAATAACTTGAATTCTAATGCTAAAGAAAATACTTCATACCTGTTTTATTTATATATTGAATTGATACAGCCACTCATTTCAACCATGTGACACTAGGCAGCTCATAATACAAAAATCATAATCACAAATAAGAGGCGTCACTAGAGCCATAGTTACAAGTAGACTTCATTTAATGGCTGCCTCAAGCACCCACCATTTGAACGTATGACGATGAATTAAAATTATTTTGCAACTAACACTTGAATTTACAACTATGCAGCTTCTCACATAGACACATGTTGCAATTATAATAAGTTAATACATGCTGTCTTGTGCCTGGCCCTATTTTATTTCTTTTTTTTCCTCACAGAATGGAGAGATTGCCTAAACAAGTGATCTTTTTCCTGAGCTGTTTTTCTCCACAACACAGTGCTTCTACAGCAAATTAACAAGCTCAGTTCTGTGACCTTAATTAAGAGGTAGTTCTTGACTACGACCGTTTGTTCAGCAACCATTCAAAATTATGACAATGCTGAACAAAAAAACGTTAAGACCTGTACTTACAGCTGCCACAGTGGCCCACAGTCACATTATCACATGATAAGAGTGGTGGTTAGAATGCAGTACTACAAGCTACTTCTGCTGATTGTCAGCTGCCAGCAGTTCGGCAGTTCAATTCTCACTGGCTCAAGGTTGACTCAGCCTTCCATCCTTCTGAGGTCAGTAAAATGAGAACACATATTGCTTTCAACATAAAAAGAATCCGTTCCTGGTCTTCATCCATATTCTCTTAATGGTGTGTTAAATTGAGTTTTAAAGTCAGAGAATGAAAATAGTTTTATAACTGAGTATACAACACAGCTGAGCTTCTCATAGCTGATATTTGTCAAGGTTGAAAAAGTCTTTATCTATACTCTAGGCTTCAAGCCAAGTCTCCTTTAGACAATAACAAGTTGTAATATCAAATGTGGCCACAAGATGTCACCATTGCCGTTTAAGATTTTTTAAGTCCAAAATTTTTATAATCCTTTTTCCTATTTTATTTCTTTTTTGTAAATAAAACCAAAGTCTTCAGAAATCTTTTGGTGCCTAAATTTTAGAAGCATATGAATCCAGTTAGTTTAAGGTTATTCTTTCAGTGTTTTAACTCCCCTGGATAGTCAGTCGCCGCTATTCTTAGAGGGTGGGATAGAAGTTCCCTTCCCTCTCTCCTCACAGGGGGGGGAAAGATACTTTGGGCAGCTTTTACAGGAGAAGAAAATACTTAGGATTGAAGAGAGGTTCAAATCTCACCCAGTCTCATCCACGCTGCTTTAAAAGTACCTGGTGGCAAGTTTGACTTTGGCTGTCTGCAGCCTAGTGATGAGCCATATTTCTATGGTAAGTCTTTCGTCCGCCGGTTTGGAGGGTTGCTCTGGATCAAGCGGAAGGGCTACTGTCCTCCCGCAATCAAGCAAGGGTCCCCTCCTTGCTTGTCGCCCCTACAGGGCGACTCTCAACCCTTTTTGGCGGAACGAAACCGAATGCGGAAGACAGAGCTCGCCTTCCAACATCCGTGGCCACGATGGCAAACCGGAAGTCGATACACGAAACCATTCTTTTAGCTTGTGATGAAATAAGATGCTACAGAAAAGAGCAAGATGTCAGCTTAGATATACGAACCCAAATTTTAACTACAATTAAAGAATCAACTACGCAGAACATAACAGAAGAAATGGAACAATTAAATACTATGATAGAGGATTCAACTGACCAAACAAATACAGTCAATGGAAAATCCAGAAAAGGGACTGACAACAATGAAAATGGAAAAGACTTTCTATATAAACCAGAAGAAACTTGAGGAGCAAGAAGAAGAACAGACCAAAGGGAAGACAAATATACCAGGTCAACTATGGGGATCTGGAATAATAGAGAGACAATTCACTAGCCCTTCCAAAAAAATGGTGACTGGATGGTCTCCTTTATTTCAAATAATATATATAACAACAGAGGAAGATCTATTTGATGACTTAAAAGCATTGACATGGAAGGCGAGCTGGCAAAGGAAGAAAGCCAGAATAAGGCTGAAGAAAATTGGGGTTTTGATTTATTAGAGAGGATTTTATATTACTAATTAAAATAGAATATACTCAAATAGACAAGATGTGTATTGTGAATACTAGATTTTGTTATGAATTGAGATAAAAAAAATTTGGTCATTTAAAACTTGGAAGTATAAATATTAAAAGTTAAATTTGAATATTGATAGGAAATTAAAAATTGGGGAAAACAAACAAATAGGATATTGATTGTCTAAAAAGATTGAATGTAAAAGTAATTAAGATATGTATAAGCTAAAAATTTATTTATAAATGTAATAAATATGTTTTTACTTAGTTGATATAATAAGAATTGTATTAGCTTAAATATGAGACAGCAGATATTAAGGGAAAAAGAGGAAATATTTGATGTTGAAATGGGGAAAATTTTGGTCATTAAATTTAAGACATTTGGAAATTAGTTGAAAATAAGGATGTTATACTGTATTATTAACTAGATGATGTAAGATGATGGGAAATAGAATATATTCAAATAGATAAGATGTGTATCTTGAATATTAGACTTTGTTATGAATTGTGATAAAGGAAACTTTGGTTACCTAAAACTTGGAAATTATAAATATCAAATGTTAAATTTAAATATTGATGGGAAACTAAAAATTGGGAAAAACTAATTATAGGACATTGATTGTCTATAAAGATTGAATGTTAAAGTAACTAGGATATGTATAAGCTAAAAATTTATTGATGATAGTTGATATAATAAGAACTATATTAGTTTAAATATGAGACAGTAGGTATTAAGAGAAAAAGAGAAGAATTATTTGATGTGGTAGCTTGAGATTTGTACTACAGATTTTTGTATGTTATTGAATTATCGATTAACCCAGCCACTACGTTGCTTTTTAAATACTTAAATGTAAAATTAGAAAATTAATAAAATATTACAAAAAAAATGAGAACGCATTGTTGGGGGCAATATGCTGACTCTGTAAACTGCTTAGAGGGCTGTAACACACTGTGAAGTGGTATATAAGTCTAAGTGCTATTGCTATCACAATTTGGGCACTTGGCAATTCAGATATTCGCCACTATTCCAAACTCAGCAATTCACCCACTCTTATGACCAACCACAAGATGCTACAATTGCCCCCATCTGCCTATCTTTCCCCCTTATTTCATCCTATTGAGTCCCTTGGGACTTCCTGCCCAGCTGGATCCCACATGCCTTAGGCCTCCTGCCCATCCCAGCATGCCTTGCTCTACTAACCTCTTTTTGAAGATCACCTTTCCAAAACAGGCAGCCTAATGCCATTCATGCAATCCCTTAGAAGGGCACAATTGAAAAACACAACGTTGCATCGCCTGGGTGCTCTTTTGGAAATAAAATGTTTGGAAATTGCCTTTCTAAAAGAGTACCAAGCCAATGTTTTGCACCATCTTCCTATACAGAAACCACCTTGTGCCATCCTGGAAGCAGTGTCATTTTGTAAGCAGTCACAATTCTCGCAATCTCTCACATCCTACCAGGTCACTTAGCAACAAAGTTGTTAATCCCGATTATGGTTACTAAATGTACTACCTGTACATAGATTACAAGATTTAGGCATGTATCATTGCCTATATATGTTCTATACAAAATTAATATATTGACCCACAAGCCTTACAGTTACCTGTAGAAGCATTCTTATGCTGAAACTTGGTAAGATACAGGTGCATTCCTTTTCGGAAATCCTATAAAACAAGTATTTCAAAAGAAACAAAATTTTCAAAATTAATTCATTTCTGCTTCAAACAGGAAGGTAAGTATCCTTTTCCACAAAATCATTTTTTTAAGAACAAAGTTTTCTGGTTAATCTAAATGTATTATTATATGTCTAATACTATCACAATACTTGTGGTACCATTTGGACTTTATTAGTAAGACAATGTTTAGGCTCACAATCTGAAACCTTGAGCCCAAAACAATGATCAAAAGCCTTGGATATAACCCCAAGAAATCACCAAAAATGTTGTTAGATTGTAATTTTGAATCTGGCAGAGCAGAAAAATGATTAAATACATAATCATATTAACTATATTCAATTTTAATTATATGTAAAAGAAATAAAATTAGTTTTGCCACAACCCCAATCACTTCTTTTTGGCTCCCTATACTTCATAGTTTAGATAAGATGTCATACTGGAAAATATCTCCAAAATATTAAAAATGCATAATTAAAAGATGAGTCTGGTTTGAGCTAAAATAAGACACTTGAAGAATACTCTAGAGACTCATCTGTACCTCCTGCTTGCTCTGGTACAAAGACACCCATATTATCTTAACCCAGGGGTGTCAAACTGGCGGCCCATGGGCCTGTTTCATCATACTGGAGCCATGTCCACCCCATTGCCAGCAATGCAAAAAGAGTTGTGATATGTCATAATACGTCACGTGACGTGGCGAGTTTGACACCCATGTCTTAACCTATCCCCAAGCTCATTTCAAGGGCAATTTTTGCCATTATATCTTGTTCCACAATAAACATAGAGTTTTTCCACTTCTGCTGACACATTCTAAGCAATCACTTTGCAATTAATTATCCCAGGGTGCATTTAAAAGTGTTGGCCTGCTACTAAGGGAATACCCTCTCTATTCCCTGGTCAATAGTTTGGATGCTTTTAGCCTTTTAGTATCAGAAAAGCAAAATTTTCTTACTAGGTGAAAACGCTATGTTATCCCTGTCTTTTGACACTCCATATATGGCAGAAGTGGGGAGACAAGGACTCCATATTGATCTTAAACAGTACCATGCTGGCTCTCATTTGTCTATATAATGATGCAGTAAAGGGTTTTTCAAACTATTTTGATGGTGGGGAGAGATAAGGTAGAATTCATCTGAATAGTTAAAAACTATTATTTGTTTTAATATAAAGACATATTGATCGATGTGGGAAAAAATACAAAATCCATTGTTAGGCATACTTAAAACCAAAGAACATGACACAAACTTTCCAGTTTCTCCATTAATGAAAATAAATAACATTTTCTTTTTTGGTATTTCAATTAATCATAATAAAATACAATCTAGTTATGGATTGTGCATATATTTAGAATTTAGAAATGTTGGAATCAAGATTGCTGGGAGAAATATCAACAACCTAAGATATGCAGATGATACCATTCTAATAGCAGAAAGTGAAGAGGAATTAAAGAGCCTCTTGATGCGGGTGAAGAAAGAGAGTGCAAAAGTTGGCTTCGAAACTCAACATTAAGAAAACCAAGATCATGGTTTTCTCAATTCTTGGCAAACAGATGGGGAAGAAATGGAGGTAGTGACTGATTTTATCTTCCTGGGCTCCAAAACTGCAGCCAAGAAATTAAAAGATGCTTGCTCCTGGGGAGGAAAGCTATGGCAAATCTAGACAGCATACTAAAAAGCAGAGACATCACCCTGCCAACAAAAGTATGTATAGTCAAGGCCATGGTTTTCCAGTTGCAATGTATGGCTGTGAAAGTTGGACCATAAGAAAGGCTGAGCACAAAAGAATTTAGGCCTTTGAACTATGGTGCTGGAGAAAACTCTTCCCCTGGACTGCAAGGCAATCAAACCAGTCAGTCCTGGAGGAGATCAACCTTGACTGCTCTTTAGGCCAGATCCTGAAGTTAAAACTCAAGTACTTTGGCCACCTAATGAGAAGGAAGGATCACTGGAGAAGAGCCTAATGTTGGGAAAGATTGAGGGCAACAGAAGAAAGGGATGACAGAGAATGAGGTGGCTGGATGGAGTCATTGAAGCAGTACGCATGAGCTTAAATGGACTCCAGAAGATAGTAGAGGACAGGAAGGCCTAGAGGAACGTTGTCCATGGGGTCGCGATGGGTCGGACACGACTTCGCAACTAACAACAACACATTTACAAATGTACAATGAACCACCATGTCTCCAGGGTTATACAAATTAATCTTGAGAAAGGAATACTGTCTAGTCACATCTTAAAATTCAAGAGTAATCTCAGATGATGTTCCTGACTAGGATTCTTCTTGTGAATGGAGTTACAGGCTTTATGGCATAGAAGTTATCTATAAATAGCAATACAATGCTATTCATCATGAAATCTTAAAAAAAATCTTACACAGACAGAAGAGAATCCCTATTTCCTAAGTTAGCCTTATACAAGAACGGGGGTCAAGAGCAGAGCTGAGATCCATTTTTTCAAAGTTGTAGTTAAGCAATTCTCAGAATGTTTGAAGTATATCTATAAAAACTTAGTTAATTGACATAGTTGGCCATATCTATATTCCAATTAGAAATACTTTTTTTCCTGTTTTGAAGAGTGAATTTTATTCCTCCACTAGGAGTTGTCATCTTCTTGGCTATTATCTATTACTTGTTTCTAGTTTTAATTTCTATATCATAACTTTTGAATATATCATTTCTTTTGCTAAGGAATAGAATTTCAACTACATATTCACAACATAGAATGGAATACTATTTCAATTGTAAATTATTATACTTTAGCCATAAAAATAGCAACTAAACACCAGAATATTACAGATAGCCCTTGACTTACAACAGTTCATTTAGTGACTGTTCGAAGTTGCAATTGCACTGAAAAAAGTGACTTATGACTATTTTTCACACTTATGACCACTGCGACATCCCCATGGTCAGGTGATCAAAATTCAGACACCTGGCAACTGGTTTATATTTAGGACGGTTGCAGCGTCCCAGGGTCATGTGATCACCTTTTGCAATCTTCTGACAAGCAAAGTCACTGGGGAAACCAGATTCACTTAACAACCGTATTACTAAGTTAACAACTGTAGTGATTCATTTAATAATTATGGAAAGAAATGTCGTAAAATGGGGCAAAATTCACTTAACTAATGTCTCAGTTAGCAACAGAAATTTTGGGCTCCATTGTGGTCATAAGTCGAGGATTACCTGTATTAGATAAGTATCTTGGTGTATGAGTACATAGTATATATCTTCTAATTTGAAAAGCATGGACAAATACCGTGTTTCCCCGAAAATAAGACTGAGTCTTATATTAATCTTTCTTCTAAAAGATGCATTAGGGCTTATTTTCCGGTTATGTCTTATTTTCGGGGAAATATGGTACTAAATGCATCCGTCTGGCTGATTATCTTAACTGGGGCTTATTTTGGGGGTGGGCTTATATTACGAGCATCCTGAAAAATCATGTTAAGGCTTATTTTCCAGTTGGGTCTTATTTTGGGGGAAACACGGTAGTATATTGGTTTAGAAAGCAGTCTCTTGATGAGAAATCCTAGCTTGCAGAAAACAGCATCAGGACTTTGGTTGCACGTGGCATACTAACCAAAATGTGCCAAAACCTGACTAGTTTTACATCCCTACCATTAATGAGAAATATGGGATGGACACAACTACCAACTTAGACAATGCTTTCTATATCTTATTAAAAAGACCAAGAAAAGGGGCCTTAGCTTGACACTCTGCTTTGTAACTCCCAGTACGTGAGTTACTCTTTGAACAAGTTCCACTACAGACAAGAAAAATGCCACAGTTAAATTTTATTATGTTTGTGTGTATGTGTGTATTTACCTCATCACCTATATAATCATGTAGCATTCGAATTACTGATGCTCCCTTGCTGTAAGAAATTGCATCAAATATTTCATCCACTTCAGATGGATGGCCTACATTGACCTAGATGTGAGAAAAGGAGTAAGTTATACAACAGATTAGGCTTGCAACTTAATAAATATTAAGGAAATCAGTTTACAATATAATCCCTTAGCTTAAGATATCAAACAATTTGCTAATTTGTTTTGCTTTGTCTCCTCAATGATCAGAAGATTTCCATTTAAAGAAATGCGAGAATTTGCAAAAAAAAAACAAAAACCCTTTCACTAATTAATGTAGGTGGCACTCACTTCAATAGGATGACTGTTGTCTAATGCATCAAGCTCCTGAGCTCTTGTGTAATCAGCAGATACAAACTGAGTCCAGATATCATATTCTGGAAAGCAATGGTCTACACAAAGGTACTCAATCCAGGATGCAAAGCCCTCATTGAGCCACAGGTGAGTCCACCATTCCTAAACAAAAGAAAGAAAATTATTGACAGTAAAAATATAGTTTTAGGCTGCATTTTAAAGTACAAAATAATGTTTAGCTATCAGACTCTGGGATATCACATCTTCTCAATGACTAATAACCCTAGATCTTTTTAGTAGAGATGAAGACTGTATTAAAAAAAACTCCACAGAGGGTAGAACTGCAATTCTATGCAAAAGAGAAAAAATACCTATAAGCATAAATATTCTCTCTCTTAAAACAATTTTTCAAACTTAATCTGCAGTCTTCTGTCAGGCGTGAAGAATCAGAATCACACATTAAGTTCTAGTTAAGAAGCTCAAGAAGCTCAAGCCTATAGATAAGAATCTGGTCAACTATCATACAATGCTAAATACTGGCAAAACAGTTAACAGAATTCAAGGGGAATTGGACTTGGACCTTTTGTGGAAACATAATGACTCTAAGCCAGGGGTCTCCAACCTTGGCAACTTTAAGACTTATGGACTTTAACTCCCAGAATTCCCTAGCAGCATAGCTCAGTGAAACAGCTCAGTAGCAACTTAATAAAAAAAAAACAGCTTACATATTCATGGCATAGAGAAATTAAACAGGAATGTCCTTTTTCCTCTAATTTGACCACTGAAATAATGCTTTATTTAGTGAGAAAAAAATTAAATAGTTACTAAAAAAATACAAATATAGCAAGTTTTCTTTGCAACAAATAAAACATGTTAGCACTACTAAGCTGCCATTGGATAAAAAAAAATCTGGATATATAACTACGATAAGGAAAAGGTAACAATTTTCAGTGTGGTTTGGATTTTAACAGGCAATCCCAAACTCTGTGGCTTAATGGAAAAAAGCACTACTAGCATTAACACAATTCTAAAAAACTAGTGAAGTTGTCATATTTTATAGCTTGATCACAGAGAAAATGTTATTTTTATACAGCGTATTATTTTAGAAGCTTAGGCCATATTAGAAGGTAAGCAAATGCAGACCTGTGGGGTAAATTGAACTCCCAGAGTTTTTGTTAGTATCCTATGCAAGAATGAAAGATAAATAAAAACTTTGCGTCAAAGGGGCAAGCTATACATAGTGGTTTATAGAGAAGCTGCTCATAGTGGTTAAGAAAAGATGGGAAAATTCTGGAAAATACACAATGATTCTAAAGCGGGCAATACACTGTCTAGTCTTCTATAAAAATTCAATAAATAAGAAAAAATGTGTTATGTTTTGATATATAAAAGTCAACAAATTTGACTTTTATGATAAAAGCGATTGTGATAAGGGTTCAGATTCTTTAAAAAATTACTTCCAGCCGTAATGCAACTATCTAAGAAACATTGCCAAAATTGAAAATGCTGATATATATTTTCCTAGTTTAGTCAATCCTTCATTAGTATTAATTTGCTGCTTTAATTTGTTATATGTATTATTCAGTTTATCTGAAATATTAGGCCTTTCCCTGCTTGCGCCTAACCATGTCATACCTTGACAATAACATATGGCATTCTCTTCATTTATTTATTCAATTTATTATTTCATTTGTTAGATTTATACCCTACCTTTCATTCAACAACTTGAAGTAGGATATGTAAGCTTTTTTTGTTCCATTTTTCTCTACAGTAACAGCGATTGGGCTAACAAACTGGCCTACAGCCACCCAGGTACTTCCATGCCTGAAGGCAGACTAGAACTTGGGTATTTTCAATGTTAGTCCAACACCTTATCTCTATACCATTCTGACTTTGTTTTATCTTGTCCCTGATCGATATGAAGTAGTACCCATAGTATTTACATTAAAAATGGATTGTGTCTGGAAACTGTAATATAAAATATGTGAAATTCAGTGTTGCAGCCATGTTCTTAAAATATAATCAAGAAGCGACTCAATAAAAATATTAGGAAGAAATAACAAGGGGTGGTTTTTTTTGTTTGAAATTCAGAATAGATTTAATTATTCTGCCAGCATTTCTTTTCTCTCCTTTGTACTGAAATTAACTGATGAACTCATGACGGTGCTGCCTGTTAATATCTCATATTAGCACAACAGAGTGATAAATACCAGCTCTTCCTGCTCAGGTATCTATGCGCAGTAGTTACTAAGCACAAATATATAGGAAAAAAGAAGTCATACTGAGAAATAAATTCCTGGATACAATCAGGACTATAAAAAAAAACAATCAGCTTTACCCAAGGCTCATTCCACATGTTAGAAAATCTATTTGGTAAGGCTGTGTGGTGTTTTGGAGTTGACAAAAAGTATTCTGGAGTGCATGAGGTCATGCATATTGGAATCATATGTTCCCAGGATCACGTATCTGCATTCTACTGCTATTACAAAATCTGAGAAAACAACCAATTTGGTTTAAGGAGTTGTAGACAGGTTATATATGGCCATCCCGTGTGCTAGAAGGTGTTTTTTTTGCTTTTAGTTCCAAAACTTTGCATTATCTTACTAGTCACATAAAGCTGTTTCCTTCATATTCTTCAATGTCCTACTACTAATCAAATGCTAAAAAGAAATGGTTTGGGGTTGATACTTTCCATTTCAACAATGACCACAATATAGTAGTCCCCGAGGTATGAACCTAATGGAGCCTGGCCATTAGGCTCGTAAGTCAAAAGACTCATCAAATTAATCAGACTCAATTTTACAAATTTTTAAAATCAAATGGGTTGTTAAATGAACGAAGAACTGACTTACTATTTCCTCCGATAGCTGTCATATTAACTGAACTGGGAGGGTTTCCCACCAGTTGTTTCTGGTGAGCTGGCTCAGGAACTAAATTGTCTCCAAGCAGGATTTGCAAGCCATCAGTTATTTAAAAAAAACAAAAACAAAAAACTGCTGCTACCCAGCTCAAGCGTCTTCAGCTGCCCAGGGGGTGGGTGGGGGTAGGACTGTTGTTTGGAAGGGACCTTGAGGTCAGCTAGTCTAACCCACTGCTCTCACAAGAGAATATTTCTGATAAATGCCTATCCAGTCGCTTCTTAAAAGCTTCCAAGTGATGGGCACCCACAACTTCTGGAGGCAATTTAAACTACAGTAATATATGCTAATTTCCAAAATAAAAGCTCAATAATTTGCAAACACAATAGTTTGCAAAATACAGTACTGGCCTTAGCAATAATGTACAGCAAATAAATTCCCCCAGAAACAAAATGCCATGGAAAGAGGTCACATGTCTATTTATTTGCATAAATCATGTATGTGTCAAAAGGATTATGGAGGAGAAACTCAAACAAAACATTAAATCTCTTAAAAAGTACAAAATATCCCAAAAGCACCCTGAAAATTAATCAATGAGTATCTACTTCACAAGTTACCAGTATTTGCTGCTTGTTTAATCAATCCTGTATCAGAGATTTCATCTGAATAGCATAAATGGAAAGTGTATAACTTAGTTTTCCCCCATAAAACTTCTTCCCTTTATATATATAGAAATAAAGCTTATGTGAGCAATGAAGAGTGGATCACCATAGAAGCTGGATAAAACATCAGTTTCCTGCTTAACCCCTCTTCTCCACCTAAGGTAAAGGTTTCTCTGTTCAGTTGTGTCCGATTCTAGGGCATGGTGCTTTTCTCTCTTTCATGGCCAAGGGAGCCAGTGTTGTCCAAAGGCATTTTCTGTGATCATGTGGCCAACATGGCTATACACCAAGGCATATAGAATGCTGTTACCATACCGTCAAAGTGATGCCTATTAATCTACTTGCATTTGCATGCTTTCCAACTGCCAGGTGGGCAGGACCTGGGGCAGGACAGGAGCTGAACCTGTTGCACGGCACTCGGATCTCAAACCCGGCCTGCAGCTTTCTAGATGATAAGTTCAATATCTTTAACTGCTGAGCTATTGCGTCCCCATTCTCCAAATAACCAAAATACAATTATGAAATATATACAAATAGGATTAAAAACTGATTTGTACTAATCTATAAGTTTATTTGAGATTTTTTTTTATCTTGATCGAACAATGTGAAAGAGTGCTTTGAGTTGCACCAAACTAGTCTCCCTCATTTTGTTTTTTAAAAAAAGCCTCTCTCCATCTATAAAATAAGTAAAAGTTGATCCAAAACCTGTAGTAAATTAGGACAAAAATAGAGGTGTGTCTATTGAAAGAAATCAGATGTATTAATTTCCCAACTGATTATTCTAGTAATGAATTATTAGGATAGCGATCACAAATGGAAAATTACCCTGAGTGGATACTTGGATTTAGCTGGGGTGGATAATTTCCACCTTCTCTTAATATAGGAGCCAGCATGAATACAAAATAAATAAATATTAAAGTTGATATATCCAGACAAATTAATGCTGACTTCAACCTGATTTTACTGGGGACACTCTGGGTAACATTCACCATTTAATCTACCCTAATGTTTCCATCTCTTCACACTGTTTTCCCAGCTGACATAACATAATACTATGCAAATGCAGATATGCACATTGTCAGTAGTAAATATAGGATACCTCCAACAATAATGATTAATGATACTCAGGATGATAGGAGTGGATTTAGCTATAATTTGAGTAACTTAAATATACTTCTTAAATACCATAGTCACGAGGTTTCCAAACCACTGGTGAGCAAGTTCATGGCCCACAACAAGGGCTACCCATTGACGAGAGGAAGAACAAGAGTTTTTGGGATCAATTAGCAGTGCAGTTTCCCTGCATGGGGGAAAAAAAACAGAGATGTAATAATGTGACATCAAAAAAATGAAATTTAAAAACTTAGTCAAGTTAGAGAACTCATCTAACCAAACTTATGTAAAATGAGTAAAACTGTTCTTCCATACCTATCAAGATGCAACAAGGAGTGTCACATTTTTCAGAATGCTCAAAAGAAGAACCTATACACACTTCTAAAACTAATTAGTTTATTACATTACTAAGTAGAAAATTCCCTATTGAGTATATTTAGATTAGATTAGATAACCTTTATTGTCATTTTTTACTGTGGGCAATATATGAATAAATATATGCCTCTATGCAAATAATAGGTTGCTATGATTATTTGAATTATAAGACAAGTATCTTTATTACGGTCCATGACCAGTCCAGTTTTAATTATAATAAAGCAACTAATATTTTTTTCAAAAATGTACAAATTTACTCCAAAATATTTCTATTAAAACTCCACAATATCATGATTTATTTCAACATTTATTTTTATATTTAACAAATAGGACTAAAATATAATTGAGGATTATTTGCTTTTAGTTAAAAATGACTTTTATCTAGAAAGTCAGCATGCTAAAGGAAGATTAAATATTTTCTCTTTCCTATTTTTTATCTTGAGAGAATTCACCCTAAAAGTTATTGCAATTGTATTTAATCAGGAACTGAAACTGGAACTCTGACTATACTTAAAGCTGTATGTACTTTCATTAACAAAAAATGAATTAATTGGTAAGAAAATGTATGGAAGAAAACATCAATTTTCACATCCTATATATAGATTAACTATTGTTAATAGAACAATCCATGTAAATTTTATTGAATTTATGCTTGTGTACTCACTCCCCCACATCTCTTCTGTTAATATCATCAAGAGACTGAAAGCTTCACTTAAAATGTAAACTTTTAGCTTCTCCAGTGCTAGAAAACAGAACATTTAACACAAAACCAAACAAAAACCTTGTGACTTACTATGCTCTGTTATTATAGGTTGTAATCCATGAAATAAACTGGCATATTTGAATCTACTCAACTACGGTTTATTCAACAAATCAACTTACAGTGCAATTTCACTGTATGTGGCTTCTTACCTCTAACCAAAACTACCATATATTAATAGTACTGCACAATTTAGTACTGTACAGTTTTCATGCATTTTCTGTGATGTAAGCTTTGAAATAAATTTCACATAGATTTTTAAAGTCCTCAAACTTTCCCTTTCCCAGAAAAACAAAGATTATCCCTTCCTCCTCAGCAATTTTGCATCAACTGCAGCCCTCAGCCTCTCATAAAAGATTGCCCACTCCAGCTTAACACAATGACTCTTTTCCACCAATACAGGTGGTCCTCAACTTATGTCTATTCATTTAATAGCCATTTAAATTTATGTTGATACTGAAGAAAGTAATTTATGACTGGTCCACGTACTTATAATTATTGCAACGTCACCATGGCTACATTATCAAAATTTAGGCACTTTGCAATTGGCATGTATTTGCGACGCAGTGTCCTGAGGTCATGTGATCATTATTTGCAGTCTTCCTGGACGGCTTCCAACAAGGAAAGTCAATGACGAAAGTCACATTTGCTTAATGATGTGATTCGCTTAATGACTGCAATAAAAAAGTTATAAAATCAGGCATGACTCACTTAACAACTGCATCACTTATTGATGTAAGTTCTGGTCCAAAATGTGGTTGTAAGTCAAGGACTATCTGTACACTTAACTAGATCAATGAGAGGGATTTATATGATGAAGAAAAACTAAAATGGAATTAAATGACCTAATCAACTAATCAAAAGTATTAAATTATTTTAGGACAGACTGTATCATTCACTAGGTTCACTAGGAAAACAAGACTATCCATAACAGAAATCTCTGTCAAAACCTGGCAATGCAAGAATATATTCCAAGACATTGTGTAGCAGCCAAACCACAATTACTGATACCTAGCAGAACAATTGGAAAGAGGCTAGCAATGTAATGAAAGCTCTTCTGTATTCCCCTTGTACAAAGACTCAAAAGAGATATTAAACACACCTGGACAAATTTTCTGTGGAATTCCCCAAATTGTCAATTTGGACACAGTTTATGTGATTGCCCACTATTAATAAGGGCTTTGACTGGATTTGCAAGAACGATATGTAACAATTATTAAATGCTCAACAACTGTGTTTCATTAAAAGCCAGAATTTCTAAGTACAGCTTGATGCTTGGCTGTCAATAAATCATCATTAACTCTAAACATAGCAGGCTGGTTTGCCATGCCATGGTAAAGGCTGATTTTGCAACAAACACATCAAAGTACATTCAAGCCAGCTATAATTTGGTTTCTTTCAAGTTAATATGAGAATATCATGCCCTGGGTTCTATCTGCCCAGAAAAGGCCAGAAAATAAAGCCATTAAGTGAAAATAAACCATGATATCAGACTTTGGTTCTAGTGAATGGATGATGCCATTATGTTCATGTATTACATTAATCCTCATATGCAAGTCACAGATTATTCAAAAATCATGTACACATGAGCATGCTGATCTAGTCCTAACTTACATTTCTGGACTACTGGTATTCTTCAGCTTATGACAACAGGGACTGAAAACCTCAGTCGTTGAGCAAAGCAGTTGTTAAATGAGACAACAGCAAATTTGGCATTCCCAGTTATGTTGAAAGTTGTATTAAGTGATATCGCAGATCAATAAGCAGATAGACCTGCCTCTCTGTTCTGCGTCTGAAAATTCTCCATGATGAAATCCAAGCAGGATTTTCAGCCCCAAAGTGAAAGGCAAGTTTCCCCACTCTGGGACTGAAAATCCTACTTGGATTTTGGCAAAGAGGATTTTCAAACCCAGAAAGAAGAGGCAAATTTATTTGCTGTGAGTCTGAATATCCTGCCTGAATTTTGGCATGGAGAATTTGCAGCACCAAAGTGAAAAGACTTGCCTCAATCCCATCAACTTTCTGAGGAAGCCATCAGGGAAGACTTCAAAAGGTGATCACTTGACCATAGGAGGTTTGACAACAGATTAGAAATGTAAATGGGTTGCCAAGCACTCAGGTTGTAATCATGTGACAGCAGGAGTGGTGCAATGACTTTATCTTCAGCCCCAGGCCACAAGTACCTTTGTTGAATACTGCCTTAATTTCCAACAGTCTTGAACAAATGGTCAAAAATTATAAAATAAGGACTCATAAGAACTCAACTGTAGAACGATATACAGATTCAATAAGCTGGGGTCAAGAATAAGAAGGGAAAAAAGCTAAATAAAATGGAATCAAACACTTAACTTCTTTTCATGACTGTGCTGGAAAAACCAAAGAAAGTACATGGTTCTAATGTTTATTAGCTGTAGCACTATAGTGTAGCAATGAATATGAATGCAACCTAGTTATGATTCTTGAATCATTATTCATATTTCTTTATTTCTGCAATTCTTTGAAGAAGATATTTATATAGAAAATTCATACTACCCAAGATGGAACACAGTTCAAGTTAAAGGAAGCTACATCATGCTAATCAGTATGAAACCTAATTTGTTAAATTCTTAATGAAATGGAAACATGAAAATAAGAATATGAAAATAATATTTTAATATCATACCTATAAGTAACAAGGCCCCAGTTCTCCATGGCACCTTTTAAAATAAATACAAAGTTTTATTGATATTGATACACACAATAGTCTGCAGAGTATTTTATAATGTAAACAAAGCTCAGACTTTAGAAATATATAATATATGTTACCTGCTGCAAAGTCTGCAATAGCTATAAGATCAATTTTAGGAAGAGGGTAAGGAACATTGAAGTAGTCCTTATAAAAAGGCAAAGTTTTAGCAGCAACCTATAGAAATAAAAAGATGAAAAATTATAATATAGAATGTTTGACTTTATATTGCCCATCTGTTAGAACAGATCAGGGTATTGTATATCAATCTTTACCTCTAGATAGCTTGATGCATTTTTAATTTTCTATTAATAAAGATACCATAAATGCACGATTTACCAAATTATAACATGTTACAAAATGTATTTCTATGGTGTTTTTTATAAGGGTTCTTAAGATATAAGAGGAAGTTCATTAACTAATATTGCATCTCTTTGAAAGTTTGTTTTCTAGATCCCGGTTCTTTTTAAGCACATGAAATCTGTAACTCTGAAGTCCGCAATTTCAGAATTATGGGAATTATTTTATTATGACAACTGATCTCTACATTCTGATGAACTGTAGCTCATCCCACCATGAAACACTGGCAGCTACCTGTTTATGTGATCTGTTTAACTCAGTGCTTTTGGCACTGCTTAATGACAACACTGATGACTTCAAATACATTTTTGCTCCATTTTTACTCAAACATGCAAAGGATTAAGTTCCAGACGGGGCGTTGTCTTACCTGAACGCCTTTTCTCAGCACGGAGATGGAGGATCCACCCGTGGGTTGAGACTGTATTCCTGCCCAATCAGATCAAGTCAGCCAAAGTTGTCACGCCCTGTCCCTGGACCTGTGCCCAGTCTTGACGCGAGCATAGACCTTGACTGATCGATGACGTACTGGCTCATACACTAATAACCTATAAGGCTAAACAATTCTCTATAAAGAGGGAGGGAGGTGGATCCTCCATCTCCGTGCTGAGAAAAGGCGTTCAGGTAAGACAACGCCCCTTCTCCAGCACTGGAGATGGAGGATCCACCCGTGGGACATACCAAAGCCTACTGTCCCCGAGGGTGGGAAGCAGACTGGTCCGGTGTGGCACTTTGGCGAACTACTTGCTGGAGGACCTTCCTACCAAAAGAGGCCTCTGCCGATGCAAATTTATCGACCTTGTAGTGCCGAATAAAAGGAGATGGAGTGGACCATGTGGCCGCTCTACAGACCTCCTCGATGATCGCTTGAGTGTTCCAAGCCGCAGACGTAGAAGCGCTCCGTGTGGAGTGCGCTGTGACCCCTCGTGGAACTGGCAATGACTCCGCTCGATATGC